ACGCCCATCCCCATCTCCATCCCCACCCCCTTTTTTCCTAGTGCTTATATCCGACAAATAAAAACAAATACAAAGAAGAAAGACTCTTAGATGCACTTTTCTTCCTCTCCCCCCCCCCTCCCTCCAGTGCTCAAGTCTGACGTGGAACTGGAGGAGGAGAGAGAGAACAGATTGATGTGGGAACGACTACGCGAACGACAGCAAGCCGAGATGGACAGAAAGGCGGAGATGGAGAGAAAAGCAGAGATGGAGAAAAAGGCGGAGATAGACAGAAAAGCAGAGATGGAGAGAAAGTCCGAGATGGAGAGAAAAGAAGTAAAAGGGAAGAAGGATGACAAAGGGAAGAAAGAAACGGTTGCCAAGGAGAAAGACGCCCCTCCTAAGAAGTAGCAAATTCTTTGATATATATATATATATATATATATATAATACTTGTGTCACGACGTGGTGGAATCAGGCTCTCGTCAATTTTTGGGCATGTGGAGTTATTGGTATCATCTTAAAGCTTGTTCACTTGTTTTGCTATCCGGTAAAAAAATGCCCATCAATCTGAATAGAAGTCAAGATATTTGAGATTGAAGAAGGTGTGGGTCGCCTGGTTTCAAAGGAAGAATTAGCGAGAAAATGGCCGCCAAAGTTTGGTTATTTCCATAGCTTGACAGACCATGGTAACTGAAAACTTGCATTTTTTTGTGCCTTTAATCAATGTTTTTCAGTAAAAAATCCACACAGAAATGTGTTCTTAATTGGGCAACCATGGAGTTAAGACAAAAAAAACCCCACAAAATTTTAAATAAAAATGACAAAACTGGCAGAAAAATCCCAGCTACTTCAATTATTTCATTATTTTGACGAGCGCCTGATTTCACCCCGCTGCCTCGTGTGTTATCTAGAATGTTCGCGATTCCATCGGCAATTAACTCGCCTAATGAAAATAATAATGAATGTACTGTCCCAATATTGATCTTTTCCCCCTGATATGAGGGAGTGAGCATTGTTTTGATTTCATCACCAGTATCACCTTCGGTTTATCACCTTTGTAATTTGTTATATCTGACTATTGGATGCTTGTTTGTTTGTTTGTTTGTTTGTTTGTTTGTTTGTTTGTTTTGGTGAAGCTGCCCTCTCACTGAGAGGGGCGAATCAAGAGTGAAAGACGAACATATAAGAAAGCATGGGAAAGTGGTTGGGTGGAAGGGGGGGGGTGCCCGCTTTCCTTTCTATT